ATCCATGTGAAAAAGGGATCTCCTGCTTTCCTAACACTGCTGGACCTATTCTTACCCGAAGTCATGGTGTCTTTTTAAGGCCACTTCCCTTTTTTTCAGCTATTTGACAGCAGAGGGTTTTTGTTACCCTAGAGCACAGGAAATCTGGTGAAAGCACAGGACTGAGCAGTTCCTCTCTGCCCTGCTAAAAACCTCACCTCTTCCCATTACAGAAATAGTTTGGATGGGAAAAAATGCCATCTTAAATGTCTGGGATTGGACCAGTCTTCTAACAGCCCCTTCCAGCACCCAAAAAATCCCCTGGCTGAATGATACTGCTGGGCCAGATTGTCCAGCTGTGGCATCAACAACCCTGCCCATGGCTCTGTTTTGTCTTGGAGGTATCTGTGCCCCCCAGGCTGCTGAGAAGATGCATCCAACGTGGCTCAGCAGGGCTGGGCATGGATTGAGCTGGATCAGCAACGTTTCCAGAAGATCCATGGCAGGAGATGGTTGATTCCACCCCTCTCTTTTCCAGGAGATCATGGCAGGAGCTGGTTGATTCTGCCCACCACTTTCCAGGGGATCAGCTGCAGGAACTGGGTGATTCTGCCCACCTATTTTCCAGATCCATGGCAGGAGCTGGCTGATTCCACCCCTCTCTTTTCCAGGGGATCATCTGCAGGAGCTGGCTGATTCCACCCCTCTCTTCTCCAGGAGATCCATGGCAGGAGCTGGCTGATTCTACCCCTCTCTTTTCCAGGGGATCATCTGCAGGAGCTGGTTGCCTTCCACCGCCTGGCCACAGCCTATGACTTGCTGCACATGTACGAGATGGCCGAGGATTGCTACCTGAAGACCCTGGCCATGCGTCCCCCCGTGCTGCAGAGCTCAGCAGAAGCTCTGTACTACTGCAAGGTCTACTGGCACCTGGGCAACCTGGCTCTGCACAAGCTGCAGGTAAGAGAGGAGCCTTCCCATGGGGCTGTGGCTTGGATGGAGAGCTGAGGCTGGAGGTCACATCTGCTTTTGAAGTGGGGGAGGTAATTTGGGAAGAAGTGCTGGCATTTGGCACCATTCCAGTGAAATCAGATGTCCCCAGCTCTGCTCCAGCTCCGTCCTGCCCCATGACCTCCAGTGAAGCTCCTTCCTGACACCTGCCCCGTGCTTTCTGCTCAGGATGAACAGGACGCAGCCTCCTACTTCCTGCTGGCCCTCGCCGCAGCCGCCGAGCTGGGAGACCGGGAGCTGCAAGCCCTGCTCCGTGCCAAGCTGGGTGCCATCCCTGGAGCCCCAGGGGGACCTGAGGGCACCCCAGGCTGTGCCACGGAGCGGCCCCGGTGGCTGAGCGAAGGTGGCCACATGGTGTGACCCATCTGCCACCCTGGGGACACCAGTGGGAGCCGTCAGCAGCAGCGTGCAAGGTCCGTGTGCTCTCCAGAACCGGCCCAGGAGAGGTCCTTCACCGCATCCTGAAGAGCTGGAAGGGTTTGGGCTCCTCATCCCAAGCACTTGGGATCCTGCCCTCGTTTTTCAGGAGCAGGGCTGTGCCTGCAGAGGAGGTGGCACAGCCAGGGCAGGATGAGGGCCCAGCAGCGGGGCTGGAGCTGGTGGTGCAGCAAGGCTGAGCTCCTGGGAGGTTTCACAAGCAGGATGGGGACTGGGGAGTGCTGCCATGTGCCTGCTTGTCCCCACACCTTGGAGCAGCTCAGCCCAACCCAAACGTGTTTGAGACAGCAGCTCCTTTATTTATGCCTGCTTGTTATCCTATCCTGCCCCGCGAGGTCTGTGATGGAATCTCTCTCCTGTAAAAAGCACCACCAAAGCTTTTGGCAGTGAGACTCAGAATTAGGGAAGTGAGGAGGAATAAAGGGGCTGCTCCAGCCTCATCTGGGGTCAAAAACCC